AGCACTCGGAGCAGGAGGCACTCAGTATTTGTGGAAGGAATTAGTGAAGGAACAACAAGTATCACCCTCCCGTCCAGCCCCCTGCTCCATCTCTGACTCTTTATTTTGTCTGGAAGTTTCGGGAATGAGGACAACAGCCAGTCCCCTCCCCGGTAAGGGCGGAGCACAGCCCGTCCTGTTTGTCTTAAAGCCCACCAAAGAGCCCAGGCCTCAGAGGTGGGGCTGGGACCCTAGCTGCCTGGCCCCATTCCTCACCTGTGAAGCATGGTGAGGAGCCGCACAAGGGGGCAGTTGGCAAGAGTGCCAGCTGCCTTCCTGCCAGCCCCCCGCTCCCACAAAAGGGGGCTACACAGAGCAAGTACAGCCGAAGTAACCACCCTGGCCAGCCCCCTCCAAGGCCCCGGTTTCCTGTGCCCCGTTCCATCTCAATAAGCCCCAGCCCTGGGCAGCAGAACGTTACCACCCCAACTCCAGGTAAAGAAACCAAGGTTTGGGAGACAGACCTGGCCGAGGGCCGGGATTTAAACTGGGGTGTCTGAGTCCATGCTCTCGGCCATGGCACCACTGGCCTCTCTGTCCCTGGGACACCCCCGGCCACCAGAAGGGCAGAGGTGGGCTTTTTATAAGTAAAAAGAACCAAGTCCAGCACGTCATGAACTCACTCGGTCCACAAACCTTAGTGGGCACACGCTTGCCAAGGCCCATGCCTGGGGTGGGGGAGCTCCACCCAGTGGGGAAGACAGCCATGGACCAGGGAAGGGTGTGGGCCGTGGCCGGGAGCAGGGGAAGCGCGAGGCTTAGTCTCTGGAAAGTTGGAAGCTTTACCAGGCTCATAAGGGTGAGTGCCCTGTGCGTCCGCTGACAAGGGGGAGGACCAGACTCTTCCTCCTGCCTCCCACCCAGGCCACGGCACCCCGCCCCCCCACCAGCACCAGGCAAAGTAAGCAGGCGGCAGTAAGCAGGCAGCAGATGGCTGAGGTCAAGGCCCCGGTCCCGAGCTGTGCTCTGCTCCTGGGCGCTTGCGCGTGCACACACACACACACGCACACACTTGCACGTGTCACCCCAGCTGCCTGCCTCCCAGGCCCTGACCTGCTGGCCCCAGGCTGGTGAGGGAACCCACCCGCTGCCTGCTCTTGCCTTTGACTGGACAGGCAGGCACAGGGCACCAGGATGTCTCCAGGGGGCCTCCAACTCACCCATGGCAGCTGGGGGGGGGGGCGGTCAGGCAGCCCTGGCCTCCCCGCCTTGCTGCTCACCCCCGCGTTTCTCTATTGGGGCCCTGGTGTCTACCCTGCCCAGGCCAGGTCTGAGGGGGTAGGGAGAGGGACCTGCTCGGCCCCCCCAACTTAGCAGGCCCAGCCCACCTCAGGTGCCAGGGCGAGGCCCTGGGGTTTGGACAAGCCAGTCGGTCGACCTGCTTACCTTCCTGCTGGTTATCGCCAGTCACCCCACCGCTGGGATCTGAGTGTCCGGCTCCCTCCGGTCCCCTTCTCAGGAAGTAGCAGGAAGTGGGAGGGAGTGGAGGAAGCTCAGTGGGCGGGGGTCCCCGCACGGGACAGTGCGGGGAGGGAGACCCAGGAGGAAAAGCAGGTGGATGGCCCGGCTGGCCTGGGGCTGGCCTGCTGGCTGGGGAGACGTGACCCTGCTTCTTGGGGGGCTGGGCTGGCCACCAGGTACATGTGCTGCCCGGTGGTAGTGTCCACCATCCAGACAGCAGACTAAGCCCCCAGCATCCCCATGGGTGGCTGGCAGGCTGACTTAAGTGCCAACCCTCCTGCAAAGCGACCACCAGAGTCTGTGAGGAGGCTCCCTCCCCTCCTGCAGGTCCCAGATAAGCCACCAACCCACCAGACAGATAATGCAGGCCCTGCCTGGAGCCCCGGGCAGGAGACCTGGCTGGGGCTTGCTGTGAATTAAGCAGAAAGAAGACCTCTTGGGCCAAGGGGGTTCATGACAGGGTCTAAAAGGAGTCTAGGAGTAGTGCATGCCCACCCCTTGGACCCAAGTAAGCATGGGTCTCCTAGCCCCCAAACAGGGTGCCGGGGCACCAGGTGCTGTTGTCTAACAAAAATGTATGGAACACCAGCTGTGTGCCAGGGGCAGGCGACCCACGGACAAATCCAGCCAACAGCCGCCAGAGGGTGAGTGGCATCCAGGGCCTCAGAGCCCAGGGGCATTTCAACATGAAGGTGGATTTCTGGGGTGCGCTATCAGCTGTCACCGAGGTTGGGGATGCCCACAGGCTTGCCCTGGGCAAGGCTACCCCTTGGCCTGAATGTCCCCGAGTTCCTGGCCTGGGCCGCACTTTCAGTAGCAAATGCCCCTGCCACGAGTCCTTTTCCTCCTTCCCCAGAGAGGAGCCTCAGAGTGGAGGGAGGAGCCAGGAGTCCCTCCAAGTCCAAGTCCTGGGGGCCTGGCACGGAGATGGGGTGGAGGCTCTGGGCCTAACCCTCCCAGGTGCCAGCCCCTCCCACACCCAGTGAGCCAGAGCACCTCAGGGCCTGTGCACTGTGGGCGGCTTAGACTATAGTCCATATGTGTGTGAGGATGCCTGTCCCAGGCAGGGCGTCTTCTGGTTCCCCTCTCTGCTGAGCATCTGCATTTCCACCCCACACACCCTGAATACAAGATTCCCGGATGATCCCATATGTGCATAAGAATAAACCTCATAGCCCCGGTTTGTCCTCTCTAGTAGCCCCTTCCACACAAGCCCACAGCCCACCATTACTGCTTTTAAAAAACTAGAGAGGTGGCAGGCCTGGGGGTGCAGGGAGAGAGGCCCCAGGCAGACCCAGAAGGGACAACGGTGAGGGTGCACTTTGGAGACCCCCAGAGCCAGGCTCCCTGATGTAGTGCTACGGGACTCTGGCTTAGTTTGAGTCTAATCTCATCTGTAGAAGCTAGGTAACAGCACTGGTCTCACAGGCTGGTTAAGTTAGCAGTTTAGCTGCTAACTCAGAGAACCTCCCAGGAATAATCACTGTTACTATTGTTGTCACTCAGAGGCATGAAGAAACCTGACCCAGCAAACATCACACGCGCTCATATTCCTGCACATTCAACTCTCATATGCACTCACACTCACACACACTCACAGCCACAATCACACACAGACACACATATTCACCCATTCAAGCATGCATTTGCACAGTCACTCTCCCATGCACATTAACACACATATTTACACAGTTCTCATATGCAGGAAGGCATTCTGGTGGCACAGTGGTTAAGGCATTCAGCTGCTAATCAAAAGGTCAGCAGTTTGAACCCACCAGCGGCTCCACAGGTCAAAGACGAAACAGTCGGCTTCTCTAAAGATTGACAGCCTTGGAAACCCTCTGTGCAGTTCCACCCTGTCCTCTAGGGGTGCTCTGAGT